ATTTATATCACACTCTCTTTCGTTTCCCACGTAGTGTATAATGGGTGTGCATCGCATCGTTGATGTCCATTTCAAGTAACGACCATTATGTTACCATACAGTACACATCATGAAACGATTATCACATACGTCGACAATAATTGGTAAATATTTTTTTTTTTTTGTTTTTTTTTTGTTTACCGCACGCTACCCTCGGCTCGCGAGCTCGCGGTCAAATTCGGCGAGCTGCCAGGAAATTGGCCCACTCCGCAGACCAATGTACACATTCCTACACCTAAAACCACGCATAAGCTTTTGTGTGTATACTGCAGGTACACGCACACACATGTATATTATATATGTATATTTACACGGTGCGAAGAAAATAGCTCTCGTACAAAGCTAAGCCGCATGTATGTATAGATACAGATACCTAACGGTGAAACGTTTCAGACAAATTGAAATAGTAAATAAGTGTGTACGGCTCCTATACAGAGAGAGAATAAGAAGGAATGGTGAGTGATCCCATGGCTTTTTTTCCAACGAAAAGGATGCACACGTGTGCAATGAGGAGCAACTGAATGTAGCCGTGCAACTTATAGACACAGTGCAGATTGCACCATTCGGGGCGATAGCTCTATACGGCTTGGTTTTTGGATGCTCAACTTGTATAATTTTATATTCTGACTACACGTTTTGGCTCGAGAGCCACGTGATTTCTCGTTATCCATCAAGATATGCATCGCATTCGTGCTTACGAAGTTTCGGAGTCAGGGTGTCGGTCCACAGGCTCCTTCCATGATTTTTATCCAACAGCGTTTGTCCCACCCTCATTTCCATCCATACGGCACATTGTTAAATAACGGATGATTGCACGATTCAGTTTTTATTCGTAATTTCTCTTGTTGAACAAAATGTTGAAATTTAACGCTTTCGACAATCTGTAGTGTAAAAAGCAGTTGAAGCATCCGTACACCAAAGAAAAATAACGACTTTTGATTCGCTGTCTTAGACTTGGTTTTTTTTTCCCTCCCTTCATTATTACACATTGGACGCGTTTATCCGTTAATTTTAACACTCGATTTGCTTATGAAAACGTTTCGAAAAAAATTTTCCGGCTTTTCCCAAAGACACAATACTCACGCGTGACTGAGAAAATAATATATAGTATAATATATTATATACACTCTCGGCAGCAACTGCAGTATAACAGTCTACCTGTCACGTCACACAGGCGCCCAATACGGGCGTGTTATTTCTTTCAGGTTCCACGGCAATTTATCATTCCAGTTTGGTCACCTTCGGCACTTTTCTCCTTATTCGACTTTTTTTTTTTTTTTTTTCTTTTCTTTTCCTAGAGAATACCGTCCTATACACACACACACACACCCACGTACGTACGTATACGTGTATACACAGGTATACCGCATATTCAGCCGCCTTTATTGTTATTGTTGTTATGATAAAGCCTGTCTGCGAAAAAAAAACGGAAGCAAAAGAGGAGGAGGGGTCGCGCGAGGGAATAAATACCTATAAATACCTATACGTACAATGAAAGGGAGTGCGAAAAATGGGAGGAAAGGAATTATGCTGCGCACACGTGTATGAATCTACATTGCAGTACTTTATATCTATTGTAGGGGCTTGGAAGGGGGGCGGGGGCGTAGTAGAAGGAGAAAAGAGTGTCGGACCGTCATGGCCAGTTGAGTGTAAAGTAGGGTTTTTCTTTTTTTTTTTTTTTTTTTTTTTTTTTAAAGGTAAATGCACCGCCGAATAGGGACGTATGGTACCTATTGTCTGCCCTGCTCCATCTCTGCTGCAGATGCTGTATACAACGTACCTATAGTATATACATCGTTGGGAAGAAAATATGAAAAAAGTGTAACAGGTACACACACGCGAGTCGCACGTGTAAATACGCGCGTGGATGCTGCAAGCACAATTATAATAATATAAGTATACGAGAAGATGTAGAAATGTATTGGCGGTGCCACCACTGCAGCAACCTCCTAAAATATATATTATTATTATTGTAAGGTCTTTTTTTCTGATGTATATGTATACGTATGGTTGCTCCCTAGTAGCTATATATAGCATCAGCTCCTTTGTTCGCTCGCGTTCGTCCAAACGAGCGGCTGCAGCGGCAAAAGGACTCTTCCTCCTCTCTTTCTCTCTCGCTTGCATCGTGCGGGGCAACCCAAGCTCCTTTTCTCTCTCTCTCCCACTCGTCTATTTTTTCGTTTTCTTCGTTTCTTTTTTTTTTTTTTCCCTCCCAGCATCCTCATATTCTTCCTCTTCGTTTATTTTATTTTCTCCCGAGTCGCTTCGTGATTCGTCCGCTCCCTCTTGCCCGTCCTTCCCCCCCCCCCCGCTCGTGTCCCTTTTGGTTTTCTTCTCAGCCTCACGCTGTGGTGCTGTATATGGGCCCCTGCTCGAACAAATGCCTAGAGAGAGAGGGAGAGAGAGAAAGCTTTGCGCTGCACGCTCGATCGATCTCTCCCTTATCCTGTATGTATATAGCTGTGCTTGGGGCCCTTTGTACTTTTGGCTTTCTTCTCTCTCCGGGGGAATACCCCGCACCTCGGTGTCCTTGGCTTTTTGCGTTTTCCAAATTTCACTTCGCAGAGCCACGCGGAGGTTTACCCGTGAAAAATCCCTCTTTACGACCGCAACTCCGGGCTTTTTCCCCCCTTTTCCGGAAAATTTATGTTATATTTTGACACCTCCTGTCGCTCGACGCTCCACTGTTTCTTTGTAATATTATTTATACCTACACGGCGTGACTTTCAACATTTTAACCATATCAACGGTGCACTGCGGAGGTTTTGTTCATACTAATGGCGTGTGTACTTATGGAGCAACAACGAAAACAAACATTGTCGAGGGTCCTCGCGGTTCCCGTTAGTCGCGCGCGTGACACATTTTCGGTTGAGGGGCTTGATTTGATAAAAATTCATGAAGTCGACGACGCCGTTGAGTGCAAAAAAAAAGCGTTCGCGCGCCGGAGAAATTTCCAAAGGGGGCTAAGAAAGATGGTAAAACCGATCGGCCGGAATTTGCGCGCAAAAAGTCCCCGAGGCGGAAGAGGAAGAAGAGACGATAGGAAAAAAAGGGGGTACAGGCTTGTATCAGGGGACCGTCGACCAAAAAGTCAAAAGGGAGAAGAAGATTCTCCCTCGGTCCTCTATATCTCATTGCACGTCATTTATGATTATACGGGCGTTGGCTCAACACGAACACGTACGAAATATACTTGAGTTTTTTTTTTTTTTTTTTACAAAAGATTTCATAATCGGTGGAACGTATATCGATATCAACGTCAACGGTGCTGCTGGTGTACTGCTTAAAAAAAAAAAATATATGTATATTTGAGTAAAAAAAAAAAAAAGCACTCGAGCTTCATTCCAAAAGCAGACTTGCCCCCCAACACCCTCGCGTACATGAGCTTCATTATTCGAACGAGTGCAAATTCTCCCTCGTTTTCAAGCCTAATAATAATTACAAGTCCAGCAGACCCCCCTCTTACCTCACCCACGTACGTACACGTGTACTCGTACATTGTACTTACGTTCGTCTTAAATTAAAAAGTTGCGCGCGAACCTGCACTAGCCGGGAACTGGAGGAAAAAAAAAAAAAAAAGTAACCATAAAATGTGAGCCAAAATAACATGGACAAACTAAACTTTATATAGAAAAAAAAAAAAAAAAAAGAAAAAGAAAAAAAACCTTGAATTTGCACCCTCCGCCGCGTATACATACAGTGTATATATAAGTATACTGCTCTACTCGCGCGTGTGTCATTATAAAAACGCACCGTAAGCATAGGTACAAGTATATCCCTTTTTTACTGCTCTGCGCTCGTTAGCAGATATACGGTGGATAAATATTGTGGACCAACGTTTTTTTTTTTTTTTTTTTTTTTTTTTTTTTTTAGGCGAAAGTCCACGTATGTACTTATTATATAAATACACGACCTATACAGCTGATATGTTTTAAAATATAATATATAAAGTTTCGGTTTAATTATAAAGTGCCCAATGTAATAATTATTATCACCGCAGTCTTTAGCGATGGAGCGGAGTGGAGAGAGCGAGAAATAAAAGTCGCGGCGTTAATGATGTTATAGAAGTTGGTCGTAACATATATGTATGTATATATATATACGTGTATGAGTATACGCGCGAGAGAGAATCAAGGAGCGGGTCTCTTATATATACTTACCCCGTGCATATAAATATATATAATTATAATTATGTAAGTATACAGGTGTGTATTACATAGGTATATATATATACGCGTCATTAGCGAGTTTACGCCGAGAGGGAGGGAGGAAAAAATTAATAATCCGCAGACTCGCGTGTATGCGGCCCTCTCCCCCCTCCCCCCGGTATACATGAGGGGGTGAAAAATGCGCTAAACAATTAGTCGGGCATTGAGTGCGGGGGCTTGAAAAATAATTTGCTGCTTTCTTAAGTGGCGTCCACTTGGCTGCCTCCGGGACGAAGCACCTCTCGCTCCCTATATAATATATCTGCGTGTATGCTTGGGGAAGAAAAAAAAAAGAAAAAAAAAAAAAAAAAAAAAAAATTTTGAAAAAAATAGTTTTCTTGCCTGTGGTGCTCGCCCTAGTTGGATGCACACCAGGTTCAAACTCTATTTTTCCAACTGCGGGCGCAGTAAACGCCCAAAGATAAATTTAAAAAATACAAATTTTTTTCTATCTCGCGGTATTTTTTCGTGACTTTGTTTGTTGTATATGTACAATGTTTAGTGTGCGACTGTGCGTGCATCCTCGGTAGGAAAAGTAGTCTCTTCAGGTCGAAAAATATTTCCTGTGGCGATAGCGCTTCTCTGACTAAAACTACTACTTCTGTAACTACTGATATTCAAAAAAGTACACATAAAAATAGTCAACGACTCCATTGATGAAAAAAAAAAGACTTAGACTTCTTAAGTATGAAAAATATGTTCTATATAAATAAAAACGTAAGTTTTTTTACATGGCATACAAAACACACAAGATTACTGTAATGTAATAACATTTGGCCTTTCAATTAATTCATTTTCTTGTTTTGCTAAATAGCGGTCTACATAATGCAAAATCTCAAAGCCAACTTCAACCATAATTAAAGCTATGATCATCCATTCCAGACGAACGTGATGTCGGTCGCTGAGATGCGAGGAGAGCAACTCAACTAGTTCAACGCAGTGATTGATTTTTTCATTTGTCACCTAATAGCAAAAAAAAAATTAGTCATATTAGGATTAATGTAAAAAAGTTATGAAATGCTTTCTAAAAGTTAAGTTATCAACCTACTCTAGTTCTCTTTGCAATGTTAAAGTAAGCGCAAGTTTGCTGATAAAGTGATTCCAAATCATCACGTTCCCAATAAAAATCAGGAGTGTCCAGGAGATCGGAGCTTAAATTGATTAAATGCCTCAAGGCAAGAAGCTCGCCTTGTTTCCTCAATACTTCTTCACGAGACATTCTAATTTGTCGACCATGTTTCAAATCTTCAGTTACAAATTCTATAGAATCTATGTAACGATCCAGCGTAGCTTCCCAAATGCCTAGTTTAACTGATTGCGATATAGCATTTGAGAATGTATACTTATCAAGAGTAGCACCAGGTGAGAGATATATATCACCATCTTTCAGATGACTATGTTTACTGATTAAAACATAAAACAAAAAATAAGCTTTTGGTCTTCTTTAAAATTTCATGCATTTTTTAACACTATGAATAAACAAGTACCCAGATTCAGTATAAGTATAAAGCATTACTTCTCCTTCAGCCTGAACTAGCTCATCTGATGAGTAACTACTAAATTGGTATTGTTTTAAAAATCGTAGCAAATTACTACATTCTAAATCAGTAATATTCCACATTACTGCAGTGCCCTCTCGAAAAAAATAAATTTCTCTTGGTTCATCGCCTACTTCATACTTAGCTACAGCTTGAATTGCATCAGGAACGGCTAAAAATTAAATTATTTTAATTCTCAAAATACCAAAAATTTTGTTGAAACTTACGTTTAGCAGAAGTTCTAATTTCAACAGGTACATACAAATTTTGTTTGATTAAACCTTCTTTCAAATTCTCCAAGTTGTATTCTTCAGCAGTTGCCAATGCTTTCACGCTCCAAAACTGAAATTATAAAGGTATTTTAACATAAGATTGAATTTGTTGCTAAAAAAAACGATAGCTCTAGACAAATTATAAAATGTTAATTTATTAATAATTTCATACACCAGGTACAAGTGCTTCGTCGTTTTCTGCTGGAGTTCTCTTTTTTCGCAAAGGTCTTTTTTTCATTTGTAATGCAGAGAAATTTTCTTTGGTGCCTTTCACTGCACTGATTTTTTCAATTGTGCGTAGATGCGAATCCGTATGAAAGAATTTGTTGTAATTATGTGCAGAATAACCGACAGTTAAAATTTTTTGTACATTACTGTTTTCAGAAAATTTACATAAAACACTCAATGCGGATACTGTACTTTGTGCTGTTACAAAATATCGCAGTACTTTAACAATTGCCATGGTAGTTTGTTATTGTTTAAACAAAAAAAAAACAAACAAAAATCGCACGGAACACCGGTTTCCAAATTACCCGACGATTCATGCTTATTTGAGGTTATATCCTTCCTATTGGACTGACTGCAAATTCGTATTCGTGGTAACTATCAACTTGACATTTTGAGAGTATCATACTATCATCATACCTTAAATTTTAAGTATATTTTATCTTAAACATGGTCAACATGTTATTGATATTACAATAATTTTCATATTATACAAAACATTTGAAAATCAAACTGATTAATTTCAATTTCAGTTTCATCTACACACTACGGTACTACACCCACCCACCTACAAAACACAAACAACACAAGAATTAATTCCGCTTTCCGCAATTCCACTTTGAAAGCTAAAATACACACACAAAATAAGCTGCACATACACACGACGACACGACAATGACAGTATATACTATAATTACATACACAGCAGAGCCCGTACCCGCAGTCCACAACTCCGCACTCCGCAAGTTCGCAGTCCGCAGTGTGAACGACACACTTATT